TGCAAAAAAATTAGGGAACAAGTCCTGAAATGCATTGGTCTGCGAGTTTTAGGACTTGCTTGCCATGGGTTAAATCCCCACCTGCTCCCTGATTTTCCTCTGGGAAACTGGATCATCAGTGTACACTATTGTAGTAAGCCTGAAAGTGTTCAAGAAGAGTGGAAGTTCTTAGTAGGTATGTGAGTTTTCAGACATGGAAGGAATGACAAACTTTAATTAACAAGTCAGTGAGTACATGAATAATATACAATAACAAGATTACCTTTTGTGTATAGATTTACTGTCTTAAATTATGTCCTTGAATCTGTATTGATAAAGCCACTGGATGGTGAAACATCTACAATAAAGATACCTAGATGTTGCACACGTGTCTAATTTTCATTATTTAATCAGCGAGACTTCCCTGAGGAAGGTAAAATATGTGGGGTGAATGTAGTAGAGGTTGAAGGAAAGACGCACTACCAAAGATCAACCCCTGAAGGAAGGTTCCTTGATGCTGGTGAGGGGATCTTGATCTAGGGAATTGGATTTGTGTTCCAGTTCCCTGAATGCCTTCCATCCCACTCCCCAACAGGTACTGTATAATCCATCTGGGTTCAGCACTCAATGTTAATAACAATCAAAAATGAAACATAAAAATTAAAGGGTTGTAACAAATGGTCTTGGTTATTAAATAAAATTTACTATTATTATTATTATTATTAAAAGAATAAGAAGAAGAAAATTGTCAAAGTGGGAAGTCTGAATGTGCGTGGATGTTGTGCAGATGATAAGAAAGAGATGATTGTGGATGTTATGAATGAGAAGAAGCTGGATGTCCTGGCTTTAAGTGAAACAAAGCTGAAGGGGGTGGGAGAGTTTCAATGGAGAGGAATAAATGGGATTAGGCAGGGGTTTCAATAGAGTTAGAGCTAAAAAAGGAGTAGCAATAATGTTGAAGGAAGCTAGGCAGGAAAAGAGGGACATAAATGTATTAATTAAGGATTATGTGGAGTAAAATAAAGATTGGAAAGTGAAAAGTGGGTTATAATTTAAACGGGTATGCACCTGGAGAAGAGAGAAGTGTAGAGGAGAGAGAGAGATTTTGGGGAAAAGTTGAGTGAATGCGTGGGGGGTTTTTGAATCAAGTGTGAGAGTAATGGTGGTTGGGATTTTAATGCTAAAGTGGGTAAAAATGTTATGGGGGGAGTAGGTAGTAAATTTGGGGTGCCAGGGGAAAAAGTAAAAGGGGAGCCTTTAAATTTAGCTTGTGAAAAAAGAATTTGGTAATAAGTAATACATATTTTATGAAAAAGAGGATAAATAAATATACAAGGTATGATGTACACGTAATGAAAGTAGTTTATTAGATTATGTATTGGTGGATAAAAGGTTGATGGGTAGGCTCCAGGATGTACATGTATTATAGAGGGGCAACTGATAAATCGGATCATTATTTAGTTGTAGCTACAGTTAGAGTAAGAGGTAGATGGGAAAAGAGGAAGGTGGCAACACAAGTAAGAGGGAGGTGAAAGTGTATAAACTAAGGGAGGAGGAAGTTCGGGCGAGATATAAGCGACTATTGGCAGAAAGGTGGGATAATGCAAAGATGAGTAATGGGGGGGTTGAAGAGGGTTGGAATAGTTTTAAAAATGCAGTATTAGAATGTGGGGCAGAAGTTTGTGGTTATAGGAGGTGGGTGCAGGAGGAAAGAGGAGTGATTGGTGGAATGATGAAGTAAAGGGTGTGATAAAAGAGAAAAAGGTAGCTTATGAGAGGTTTTTACAAAGCAGAAGTGTTATAAGAAGAGCAGAATATATGGAGAGTAAAAGAAAGGTAAAGAGAGTGGTGAGAGAGTGCAAAAGGAGAGCAGATGATAGAGTGGGAGAGGCACTGTCAAGAAATTTTAATGAAAATAAGAAAAAATTTTGGAGTGAGTTAAACAAGTTAAGAAAGCCAAGGGAAAATATGGATTTTCAGTTAAAAACAGAGTAGGGGAGTTAGTAGATGGGGAGATGGAGGTATTAGGTAGATGGCGAGAATATTTTGAGGAACTTTTAAATGTTAAGGAAGAAACAGAGGCAGTAATTTCATGCACTGGTCAGGGAGGTATACCATCTTTTAGGAGTGAAGAAGAGCAGAATGTAAGTGTGGGGGAGGTACGTGAGGCATTACGTAAAATGAAAGGGGGTAAAGCAGCTGGTACTGATGGGATCATGACAGAAATGTTAAAAGCAGGGGGGGATATAGTGTTGGAGTGGTTGGTACTTTTGTTCAATAAATGTATGAAAGAGGGGAAGGTACCTAGGGATTGGCGGAGAGCATGTATAGTCCCTTTATATAAAGGGAAAGGGGACAAAAGAGACTGTAAAAATTATAGAGGAATAAGCTTACTGAGTATACCAGGAAAAGTGTACGGTAGGGTTATAATTGAAAGAATTAGAGGTAAGACAGAATGTAGGATTGCGGATGAGCAAGGAGGTTTCAGAGTGGGTAGGGGATGTGTAGATCAAGTGTTTACATTGAAGCATATATGTGAACAGTATTTAGATAAAGGTAGGGAAGTTTTTATTGCATTTATGGATTTAGAAAAGGCATATGATAGAGTGGATAGAGGAGCAATGTGGCAGATGTTGCAAGTATATGGAATAGGTGGTAAGTTATTAAATGCTGTAAAGAGTTTTTATGAAGATAGTGAGGCTCAGGTTAGGGTGTGTAGAAGAGAGGGAGACTATTTCCCGGTAAAAGTAGGTCTTAGACAGGGATGTGTAATGTCACCATGGTTGTTTAATATATTTATAGATGGGGTTGTTAAGGAAGTAAATGCTAGGGTGTTTGGGAGAGGGGTGGGATTAAATTATGGGGAATCAAATTCAAAATGGGAATTGACACAGTTACTTTTTGCTGATGATACTGTGCTTATGGGAGATTCTAAAGAAAAATTGCAAAGGTTAGTGGATGAGTTTGGGAATGTGTGTAAAGGTAGAAAGTTGAAAGTGAACATAGAAAAGAGTAAGGTGATGAGGGTGTCAAATGATTTAGATAAAGAAAAATTGGATATCAAATTGGGGAGGAGGAGTATGGAAGAAGTGAATGTTTTCAGATACTTGGGAGTTGACGTGTCGGCGGATGGATTTATGAAGGATGAGGTTAATCATAGAATTGATGAGGGAAAAAAGGTGAGTGGTGCGTTGAGGTATATGTGGAGTCAAAAAACGTTATCTATGGAGGCAAAGAAGGGAATGTATGAAAGTATAGTAGTACCAACACTCTTATATGGGTGTGAAGCTTGGGTGGTAAATGCAGCAGCGAGGAGACGGTTGGAGGCAGTGGAGATGTCCTGTTTAAGGGCAATGTGTGGTGTAAATATTATGCAGAAAATTCGGAGTGTGGAAATTAGGAGAAGGTGTGGAGTTAATAAAAGTATTAGTCAGAGGGCAGAAGAGGGGTTGTTGAGGTGGTTTGGTCATTTAGAGAGAATGGATCAAAGTAGAATGACATGGAAAGCATATAAATCTATAGGGGAAGGAAGGCGGGGTAGGGGTCGTCCTCGAAAGGGTTGGAGAGAGGGGGTAAAGGAGGTTTTGTGGGTAAGGGGCTTGGACTTCCAGCAAGCGTGCGTGAGCGTGTTAGATAGGAGTGAATGGAGACGAATGGTACTTGGGACCTGACGATCTGTTGGAGTGTGAGCAGGGTAATATTTAGTGAAGGGATTCAGGGAAACCGGTTATTTTCATATAGTCGGACTTGAGTCCTGGAAATGGGAAGTACAATGCCTGCACTTTAAAGGAGGGGTTTGGGATATTGGCAGTTTGGAGGGATATGTTGTGTATCTTTATATGTGTATGCTTCTAGACTGTTGTATTCTGAGCACCTCTGCAAAAACAGTGATAATGTGCGAGTGTGGTGAAAGTGTTGAATGATGATGAAAGTATTTTCTTTTTGGGGATTTTCTTTCTTTTTTGGGTCACCCTGCCTCGGTGGGAGACGGCCGACTTGTTGAAAAAAAAAAAAAAAAAAAAAATTATTATTATTATTATAATCAAAAAGAAGCACTAAGCCACAAGGACTATACAGATAAAATTTACTAACACTTGTGATTAATCTACAACTAAAAGAATCGTGAAGGCAATGGGCATGACAGCAATCCTTTAACGATGGGATGTGGCTCTATATGCAGGCTTTGTTAGGGAGGATCGCCAAACTCCCAGAAATGATTCAAGAAATCGTAATGACACGATTGCAAACTATGACCGCGGGTTCAATCCCGGCCGGGTGTATGGTTGGTTTTCCCAGAAACGATCACAACCACTAATGATGAATGGGGTCTAAGTGTGTTGATAGCCAATGAAGTTGCAGAATATACTCGCTCCACGTAATCTACCTGGTCAACATCAGGGCTGACTAAAATAGACTATCAAGTTCCCACAAAAATTTGAAGAGTCTTTAAAATGTATTGTAGACTATTTCAGGAAGTTATGGAAGATTTCCACAACAAAGAAGCGGTTGCGGTCTAACCGTATGCTGGAATAGGGAAGCCAGAAGGGTGTAATAGATTGCTGGATAACATGGAGTCATGTGAAGGTAATTAAAGTTTGCTTTAGCAATGGAAAACTAAACCACAGGAAATGATCCAGGCGACAGTACTATCAACAGCAAATTGGTGCATTTACGGGTGGATAGTCTGAGCCAGCATAAGTGATGGTCAAGACATCAACATAAAAGGACCTATTACCTGTGGGAAGAACAGAGGTATGATAGGTAATCCATTATTCATTCTGGGGATTATCTTCCCCACAGCCTGGTCTTACCATACAGCACCTGCAGGTATGATCCAAGGGGATGGAGGGTACCTGCAGTCCTTGGATCAAAACCCCTTCACTGCCATCAAGATACCACCCCTTCATTACACACAACTGCATATTATCTGCTCCATACACCATACATAAGTCAAATTAGCATTCTTTATCAAACTGCAAGTAGAAAATGGATTAAAAACAAAAAAAAATTGAAACAATAACAATATCTACAGTTTATTAACAAATCATTTCAGAATATAAAATTTCTTACTCTCTTTACATGTTTGAAGTTTCCTGAGAGCATAAACACAGCATATGAACATAATCTTGAGGATGGAGCATCAATCACTTGGGAAAGAATATATAAAGGGACTTTAGCACCACAAACACATCCAATAACTTAAAATAATATTCAGGTATATGTCAAGACTCATACATGATGCTAGTCACTGGATCTTCTCTGGAAATCTTAAATCAAAAGCCAAGGAAGTGTATCGCTATAATGGACTTTGCAAATGCAGAGCCTGGCCCATGGCCGGGCTCTCAGAGTAGCGAGACTCTTGAAAGTTATCAAAGGTACATATCCAAGGGTCAACTGATTCACAAAGTCTGTTGGTTACAGAACTGTTCATTTTGTTATTACTATCACAGTGAAACAATTCTCCCTCTATCCACAGACTGCCATTACCAGCTATCCACTCATTCAATTAGTCTGGTACAATGAGGGTTTTTATATTTGTTTTAACTGATTTCCATTGAAGTTTTTAGATTGCTGAACTAGCACAATATTATATGATATTCATACCTGTTGATTTGATGAATGGGGTAGTGCTAACCCAACATGGGGCATACACCACTGAAATTTTAATCGAGGAAGAGCTCTTCGTTCATGGATTCTCCTGTGAACACTATTCCAATCCTTCGTCCACATATACTGTAGATATAGTGGAAACCAGGTATACAATAGCAGCAGGTTGTGGTTCAACGCATAAGCAAACACTTGGGACACTACAGAAACGACTTGGTCCTGGGAACGAGATCAAAGGCCCAGGACCTAAACATTTCCCTAAAGTTATGCTTTAAATATTCATACAATTTTAGCAAGATACTGTCAACATAATGTTCCAAGTGTTCACACATGCCTTTAACCACATACTATAAACATTTAAAGTTGTCCTCCACATATAAACACTTCCCCTCTTGTCTACCCAGCCGCTTATTCGGCAAAACCCTGATCTTCCTCCTGAACTTTATATATCTGAAGTTAGGTCTACATTAACAAAATTATCCCATATTACAACAAATAACAAAAGGCACAAAATAAAAATCATGGTCACACAGGTTAGGCAAATGAATACTCTACACTCCAAGTAAAAAAAAAAAAAAAAAAAAAATTACATAATCTTGCAGATATATGGTAAATCTAATATAATTTATTGCAAAATTTAATGGTAAGTTCAAGTGAGGACATTAATGGATTCTGCCTTTGGGTGTTTCAGTAACACTAACCTGCTTCATATATTAAACTCTCTTACAAAGCTCGTATATACAGCCTCTCCTCACTTAGCGACGTACTCGTTTATCGATGCCTCGGACTTACGACGGTCTCTCTGACCAGTATTCATACCTAAATAATGTATAACAGAGCTGATTTCCTCTATTTTCTTTATTACATTATACAGTACACTACTGTATAAACATTTAAAAATACACCAGAAATGTTATAAATGGTACAAAGGTGACATTAAAACAATAACAAAGATGGTTGACACAAACCCACTACCATTATAGTATGCTCCTCGCTTAGCGACGAATTCGTTTAATGACGCGGTCTTAGGAACAGAACTCCATCGTTAAGTGAGGAGAGGCTGTATAGATTTTTTTGTGAATGATTGAAAAAGATCATCCTATACTGAATAGTGTGAACTATCAAGACTATTTAATTTTCGATATACTTTTGCAATCGCCTTCACAAAAAAAATCTCAATAGAAGGGTTGTATAAGAGAGCTTACTGTATATAATTAAACCAAGTGCAACACATTTAAAAATGTCCAAAATTTGCCTCTAGAAAACAACACCCACACAATATTATTCCAACTCATCAAAACATCTCTCACACTGATACCTGGGAGACACCCCCTCAAATTAAAAGACAACACTCAAATTTTGGTAAAACAAGAAAAAGCAACTAATAAGACCTATATTACAGTTGCGTTTAATTTTCTTGGAGCTCTATCAAGCTCCTGGAGACCAAAATGCAGTCATAATAAACTGACTGCCAATTGGGAAAAGCAAAGGGGGCTGCAGCCCCCTGGCCCCCTTTCCACTTAAGACCATTTCTTGCTAGACCCCTAATACACTGAAATTCTGAAGACATCCATGTTGATAAACATTCTGGAATCACACAATAAGTCTCATTACTTGTTTGTGTCATTTTTCATAAATTAATAATTTTTCCAATGTTTACACAAAGTATCAATTTGTTTGAAGTGTGCAATGACTTTTGTTTATACACCGGTAAAACTGATTCATGGAAGTGCTGAATCGAACTCACATTAAGGATAACTATATACAGTGGACCCCCGCATAACGATTACCTCCGAATGCGACCAATTATGTAAGTGTATTTAAGTAAGTGCGTTTGTACGTGTATGTTTGGGGGTCTGAAATGGACTAATCTACTTCACAATATTTCTTATGGGAACAAATTCGGTCAGTACTGGCACCTGAACATACTTCTGGAGTGAAAAAATATCGTTAACCGGGGGTCCACTGTACTGTTATCTTGGGATAACATATTTAAGATAACCTGCCATTCTAATGTTACAAGGGGCCTCCGATATTACGTTAATTTATGTCAGCCTATTATTCTGCCTTCAGATAACCTGTACTGTAATGGGAACTTATAACCTATTATCTTAAGATAACTGGTTATTATCACATTATTTCACAATAACCTATTAGAGTGTTATATTTTAAAAGCTATCATATTATCATAATCTATTATAATTTTACCACCGTTATTCTGTCAGTAAGGGACTAATTTCAAAAGCATTCATGGATCTCACAAATACAAAACCGTACATCGTCCACTCTGCCAATTTGCAATATAAGCCAAGACAATCTACCGCAGGGAATGCAACATGTTACACCTAGTCTCGGCGAGTACGGCAAAATGGACAGTGCCATGTATTCCTGAAATAAATTTTTTGTTTCTCCACTTGAATTTGTACATACTATATTGCATACGATGCAGTCGCCTGTTGATCAGCCCACTCTGGTTTAACACTTCTAGTAATAACCACCACACTTGCTTTGAACTAGTCAAATTTCTTATGAAGCTTCGTTGTAATAGACTTTTTTTTTTTGTGAAGGAATTCGAAATGGCATTGAAGATTGAATGGCATGTACTACGAAGGCCTTTCTGTTGGTTATTCAATTTTGGATGCACTCTTCCAATCACATTTATAAAAAACATCTCGCTATACCGAGATTTATAAAAGAGCTTACTGTTTATCACAATAAAACTATCTTTGTCTTGGTATCATAGTCTATACACAAATAACCCGCACATAAAAGAGAAAAGCTCACGACGACGTTCGGTCCGACTTGGACCATTTACAAAGTCACACTAACCAGAAGTGGAGCAGGACGGCTATATATAGGCAGGAAGAGGTAGTGGTGGTAGTAGTAATAGTAGTACAAGAATGGTATATAATAGTACAAGAGGTATATAATACCTCTTCCTGCCTATATATAGCCGTCCTGCTCCACTTCTGGTTAGTGTGACTTTGTAAATGGTCCAAGTCGGACTGAAACGTCGTCGTAAGCTTCTCTCTTTTATGTGCGGGTTATTTGTGTATCGTTCCAGTCACGGTATTGTGCCTTTTTTGTTATCACAGTCTATATTCCACACACAACATCAAAGATGCATCTTCCAAACATACACTCTATATTAGGTATAGTTGATAGCTTACATTATTACTTGTAACTAATTTCCTTGGCACTTGCTGTCCCTCTGCCTCAAACTATTCCTTGCTTAAGTTATTGTGGCATTTATAGCAAAGATTGCTTACATTTAGCAGATTGAGGTGATGTAAAAAGATTGTGGCTTTAAAGTATTCTACACCTTTAAACAATAAACAAGTGAATGTAATAAATATAAATAAGCTTTTGCAATGTTGCTAAAGCAATATATATTGAACGATATGAAGGCAGGGGCAGCTGAAAGCTCAATACAATATTATCAAGAAATAAGGCATGAAATTGTGATGATGAGACTAGAGAGAGAACCTGTATTATAGACCTATGTGACCTTCATTCACATGTAGCCAACTTTATCAAGTGAATCTAGGAAACAAAGGTGTGATCATGTGTACAGTTAAGAGAAGAGTAGTGCGTAAGATGGTTGAGAACTGGCTGGAACATTCGGGTGAGCAAGGGCTGGTAGGCCTACTGCAATGCACTGCAGCCCAGGAATGTTGATACAAGAAGTATGATTTGCTTCTAATGATAAAAGGTGGTGGTGCGTGTCTTAAACTGTCGCGTTTAGATTCTCCTCTAGTCATAAGATGCAAGACTATTTCTGTGTATCACAAACATTCTGATCATGTCTGATGCAGCTAGCATACTTGCCATCTTTAATACAAATCTTTAGCTCTCTTTCACTTTCTATGTATATTTTGTCTCAATCTGTACAAGATACAGTGGACCCCCGCATAACGATTACCTCCGAATGCGACCAATTATGTAAGTGTATTTATGTAAGTGCGTTTGTACGTGTATGTTTGGGGTCTGAAAGGAATAATCTACTTCACAATATTCCTTATGGGAATAAATTTGGTCAGTACTGGCACCTGAACATACTTATGGAGTGAAAAAATATCGTTAACCGGGGGTCCACTGTATATGTATATAAGCATGTCTGACCGATTAGATTCACTCGAGAAAGTTCAGTACATGTGAAAGACAACATGTATCACAGCAAATCAAGGCTCTTCTGTTTTCTTGTTTATTTTTATCATTCACAAGACAGGGGCAGCTAAAAGCTAGATAAAATAGAAGATAGTGACAGCTGAAAAGTACAGTAGATACAATGCAGTGAAGAGGCAAAGTGCAAATCTACCATCGATTATGTAGCCACAAAAATAATTACCAATACGCATTTTAACATGAAGCAACCAAGTGCCTCATCTCAATGTGTTAAAATACACAATACATGATAAAGTTACCTTCACTTTCACACACAACACTTCCATTCAATAAGTGGAATGAACAACATTTACCCATGCTACTGCTCCATCCTCAATTCCTTAAATATGTTAAGACTAGGAATAAGGTACTGTTAGCTAAGACAGCAAGCCTGCCTCTGCTGCTGCTGGTAGTGTGCCTCCCTGTGGCTTGCTTGCAGTACAGGTGATATGATTGGCTCGAGGGCGGCAATGCGATGCTGGAAGCGCATTCTGTCTCTCGCATACATTTCCCAGGGGCCTCTTCTTGCCATTTTGTAGGCAAAGTCCCAAGCAACTATAGGGTGAATTTTCACTTCCCCAAATTTGACCTTCTTCTCTCTACTCCCCAAAACATCTTTTTGTATCTCCTCCTCCCATCTTTTGTTGATTTCTTCTAAGGTAACTCCTGTAAATGTGGGATCCTCTTCACTAACAGTATCACAGATTGACTTTACAGGAGAACAGACAGCAACACCTTGCTCTGGGACTGATGCTGGCACCGAGGATTTTCCAACTTGTGGAAGAGTGAGACACAGTCCAAAAGTTTCCCAGGTGTCATCAAGGTCAAAGTTATCTGTACTCTCCACACAAACACTATCCCAGTCACTATCAGAGTCCTCCGAGTCCTCATCGGAGTCCTCGCTCTCGGACTCGTCACACCCCAGAATGTGAGCCAGAATGTTACTGGAATATTTGGGTTTCTTGACACACTGAGGTTCACTTTTCTCTGGAAGGACATAAATATCACAGTGTCTATCAACTACATCCTTTCCAATGTCAACGTCTACACTTTCCACACCCATAATGCTAAAGTTACTCTCACTATGATCATGGGAGGTGTTGCAGCTGCTCCTCTCACTTAAAGAATGTGGTGCCACCCTAAGAGTTGGAAGAGACTTATCCTTCGGAGAAACAATCTGCGGTGGTTCTACTGAACAAGTTGGACTTTTAGGACAAAGTCTGGGACGTGAGGAAACTTCGAGGATGGAACACTTGAAGCCAGAATCACGTTCATTACCCGTGGACCCGCACATTTTGCCTTTGACTGGGCTCGATTCCTTTAGTTCCCGGAGGAAATTTCGACTGCATTTCTTCTGATCTTTAGTCACACTCTTAAACAAGAGAGGAGCTTTGCTTTTGTCATCAACAGGTGAAGCCTTTTCCTTAGGATACTTTTTGTCCCTTATAAAAATATGTGGAATTGACTGATCTGCTGGACCACTCCTGACACAGTTCTGCTGGGACTTGTCAACAGCACTTGAGACAGGCAATTTTCCAACAACACTTGCATAACTTACAGGCCTACTATCCTTAACTATATTATCACATGCTTGAATCTCAATAACCCCCTGATCAAATGAAGTGTGACCCTGTATGGGGTGGGAATCTATCATAACAGCAAAACCAAGGTCAACCGGTGCTGCTGTTGTGGTGTGACCCTCTGAAGGGTGGGAATCCACCATAACAGCAAAACCAAGGTCAACTGGTGCTGTTTTTGTAGAGTTGTCTTTAGCTGCTTTCATAGAGTTGTCTTCACTAAATCCTTCATTTGCTTCCACAATTTCATAAACATCATCCTCAACTGACGGGTTTTCCTTTTGAGTAACATTCGAATTATCACTTTCGCCCAATCTTATAGCTTGAATTTCACAGTCTGTAATCTCGCAGAAATCTGGTAACCCGTCTACACCCTCACGATCCTGCAGGTCAAATGAAGTAGGCTCTTCAGCCTTCAAACAGTCCTGATCCATAGTCTTGCAAGGAAGAGTGGATGATGAGAGAGAATCCTTAGCGTACTCCTTAGGAATCCACTCCTTGGCTTCAGGGTTAAGTGGCCGGCACACCTTTTGTTGCAGTTGTGCAGAAGATGGTGGCCACTCACAGGGAAAGGAAGTATTTTGCCACATTAGAAGTGGATCCACAAACTCTACCTGCGATCCTGCGGCCGTCGCAGGGAACCACAATCGGCTTCTGTTGTCGTACATGTTGTTCACCTCCATTCGGCAATGATACGGGAGCTGAGGATGGACTCCGTAAGGAAGAGCGGCAGGCTGAACCATCTCAGGGGTGACCCAAGTGACAGGGCTCCTCGGAGAGCACACAGAATTATACATACTGCAGAGAGAGTTCCAAAAGTGTGAAGTCATCCCTATGAAGTTTTTATCCATGCCTCCACCTGTAGAAAATAGGGCATTATAAATTGTTCATTTATATACACATCTACCAATCCCCCACCCCTCTACACAGCTTATTACTTATATATTTTTTACTAATACATCGGCCGCTTCCCACCAAGGTAGGGTGACCCAAACAAGAAAAACTTTCATCATTCATTCCATCACTGTCTTGCCAGAGGCAAGCTTATATTCTAGGAAAAATCCTCATGAAGGCTAAATTCACATACAAGTGGATGGAAATTGAATCCACGGCAGTGTGAGCTAAGTCTGTGATCTACCTTGGCCTCAGATTTGATCACTGTGTGGTTTTTCCATTAGTTATTCAATCATTTAATTTTTTGTAGCATAAACTGACACTACCTTTGACGGAGCAAGAGTTAGGATGTATCAACAGGTCAACTGATGCAGTAGGCAGGGGAGCACTAAACACAACAGTATCTGGAGTTTATCTGGAGAGAGTTCCGGGGGTCAACGCCCCCGCGGCCCGGTCTGTGACCAGGCCTCCTTAGGTCAGTGTCCCAGGATGCGACCCACACCAGTCGACTAACACCCAGGTACCCATTTTACTGATGGGGAACATAGACAACAGGTGGAAAGAAACACGTCCAATGTTTCTACTCTGGCTGGGAATCGAACCCAGGCCCTCACCGTGTGAAGCGAGAGCGTTAACCACCAGGCCACTGCTGTACTCATACAAACGCTCCTTTACAGCCTGTACAATTGCAGTAGCAGTAGGAACACACAGTTTTCCACCACAAATCTATCTTTCAACGCACCGGCCGTATCCCACCGAGGCGGGGTGGCCCAAAACGAAAGTTTCTTCTCTTACATTTAGTAATATATACAGGAGAAGGGGTTACTAGCCCCTAGTTCCTGGCATTTTAGTCACCTCTTACAACACACATGGTTTATGGAGGAAGAATTCTGCTCCGATTCCCAATGGAGATAGATGGAAATGAACAAGAACTAGTAAGAAAGATAGAAGAAAACCCAGAAGGGCGTGTACATACATGCTTGCACATGCATGTGTAGTGTGACGTAAATGGCAGTAGAAGTAGCAAGATGTACCTGAAATCTTGCAAGTTTACGAGACAAAAAAACAAAAAAAAAACAAAAACAAGACACCAGCAATCCTAACCATCATGTAAAACAATAAATAACTTTTGTAAAATCAAGGTACTCCAAACAAAGCGTGATCCCTCATGATGGAAACTACATTACTATACATTTTTTTTTTTTCCAACAAGTCGGCCGTCTCCCACCGAGGCAGGGTGACCCAAAAAAGAAAGAAAATCCCCAAAAAGAAAATACTTTCATCATCATTCAACACTTTCACCACACTCGCACATTATCACTGTTTTTGCAGAGGTGCTCAGAATACAACAGTTTAGAAGCATACACATATAAAGATACACAACATATCCCTCCAAACTGCCAATATCCATTACTATACATACAGGCAGTATTTTAAAATCAAAAGGCAACTAAAATGCCAGGAGAAAGAGGCTGATAACACCTATATAAATTACTAAATGTAAAAAGAATTTTTTTTTATGTTTCTTCATTTTTAAGTCATCCTGCCTTGGTGGAGTGGCCACTGTTTAAAAAAAAAATAGTAGGGAAAATAAACTACACGAGGCATGACTAAGTGGTCAATAAGAGCAGTATACTCAGCTGTGTACTGGTAAATATGAGGTTAAAAGGCAGACTTGTGTTATAAGAACATAAGAAAGGAGGAACGCTGCAGGAGGCCTGCTGGCCCATACTAGGCAGGTCCTTTACAATTCATCCCACTAACAAAAACATTTGCCCAACCTAATTTTCAATGCTACCCAAGAAATAAGCTCTGATGTGAAAGTCCCACTCAAATCCAACCCCTCCCACTCATGTACTTATCCAACCTAAATTTGAAACTACCCAAAGTCCCAGCCTCAATAACCCAACTAGGTAGACTGTTCCACTCATCTACTACCCTATTTCCAAACCAATACTTTCCTATGTCCTTTCTAAATCTAAACTTATCTAATTTAAATCCATTACTGCGAGTTCTCTCTTGGAGAGACATCCTCAAGACCTTATTAATATCCCCTTTATTAATACCTATCTTCCACTTATACACTTCGATCATGTCTCATTCTTTGTCTAAAAAGTGAATGTAATTTAAGAGTCTTGTTATGTCACATCAAGTGGTAATTAGACCAGTAAACTATTTTCCAAGGAATTACATAAATTTTATATACAGTGGACCCCCGCATAACGATCACCTCCCAATGCGACCAATTATGTAAGCGTATTTATGTAAGTGCGTTTGTACGTGTATGTTTGGGGGTCTGAAATGGACTAATCTACTTCACAATATTTCTTATGGGAACAAATTCGATCAGTACTGGCACCTGAACATACTTCTGGAATGAAAAAATATCGTTAACCGGGGGTCCACTGTATACTTTACCACTGTACATAGAAAAGCCTTAAAATAAAATGTATTATAAACTAATTATAAAGGTTTATTACACTAATGTTCATGAGAATTTAATTAAGTTTTAAGCACTAGTAAGGCTGGAGGCAGAGTGGAGATGTCATGTCTGAGGGCAATGTGTGGTGTGAATATAATGCAGAGAATTCGTAATTTGGAAGTTAGGAGGAGGTGCGGGATTACCAAAACTGTTGTCCAGAGGGCTGAGGAAGGGTTGTTGAGGTGGTTCGGACATGTAGAGAGAATGGAGCGAAACAGAGTGACTTCAAGAGTGTATCAGTCTGTAGTGGAAGGAAGGCGGGGTAGGGGTCGGCCTAGGAAAGGTTGGAGGGACGGGGTAAAGGAGGTTTTGTGTGAGAGGGGCTTGGACTTCCAGCAGGTATGCGTGAGCGTGTTTGATAGGAGTGAATGGAGACAAATGGTTTTTAATACTTGACGTGCTGTTGGAGTGTGAGCAAAGTAACATTTATGAAGGGGTTCAGGGAAACCGGCAGGCCGGACTTGAGTCCTGGAGATGGGAAGTACAGTGCCTGCACTCTGAAGGAGGGGTGTTAATGATGCAGTTTAAAAACTGTAGTGTAAAGCACCCTTCTGGCAAGACAGTGATGGAGTGAATGATGGTGAAAGTTTTTCTTTTTCGGGCCACCCTGCCTTGGTGGGAATCGGCCAGTGTGATAATAAAAAATAAATAAAAAAATACTAGTAAGGAGCATGAGGTACAGTTTTTAACACACCGACCATCTCCCACTACAGCAGGTGACCCAAAAAAGAAAACTAACATATTTCTTCTTTATTACATTTAATAACTTATACACAAGGGGGTTACTAGCACCTTGATCCCAATATTTTAGTTGTCTCTTATGACACGCATAGCTTAGGGAGGAATGATTCTTCTCTACTTTCCTGTGGAGGTGCCACAGGTGACAATTTAAGTACACTGACAATACTTGTACATGTTACTGTATTTTGTGGCTTATTAGATGCACGTTTCCATAAAATATCTCCAAAAAAAAAAAAAAAAAAAAAAAAAAAAAAAAAAAAAAAAAAAAAAAAAACCACCCGGTGTCCTGTAAACTGAAGGTCAGTGATGGGAGCTCTAAGTTCGGGGTGTGGGGCAGGCTGTAGCTCTCCCAGTTATGTTCGATGCTGAACCACGAAATATGGTATATCTCTTGTACTGATTTCAAGTTGTTTCTCAAACATGGATATAAAAAAATCACATCGTAAGGAGGTGCTTTTTAAGAGCAGACTAAGTGGTTGACAGATTAGGAATATTTGGAATCATTTGGCAGACAGATCCACATTCTGGGCCTTTATGTGCATCGAGGTTTTAATGAAGCCGAGTTAAACATGGGAAAGTGCAGTACGAGAAGATATGTTGTTAGTCTATGAACAACCTAACGGACACTTAGTGAGAGGAAAGTGCAACTGGTGGAAGAAAGGTGGTTTTATACTGACAAGCTGATGATGAGGTATGGTGTATGTAGGTAGGGGTGGTTTTGATAAGGACCTGCCTTGCATGGGCCAGTAGGCCTTCTGCAGTGCTCCTCCATTCTTATGTTCTTATTTAAGAACATCCTGCTCTGCGGGACTTGACAAGGGGTCCACCTGATCTAAATAGAAACCTCTAGTATCAATTTCTATTTACAAAGGGATGCCTATCGCCTTTCCTTTCATTGTCCAGCTTTGGGCAGTATCTCTTCTCTGTACATTGGGAAGCAGAGCTCGATACAGCATAAGCTGTCAGTGGACCTTACAAACCCAGCAAGAATAATAGTGTCAGCAGGCTCTGCAGAGGTGGCTATAGGAGGGAGTGCAAGATGAGGAACAGAATAGAAAAAAGAGAGGAGGCTATGATCACGTTTTGGTCCATCCTGGATCACTGTAATGACTTCTCTAGTTTTCTTGTCCCCAGATGTGACAAAGAACCTTGACCAAACAAAATGTTACTCTCCTATATGCAGGATTTCCAGTGAATGGTAACAATGGAGAAATACTGGCATGTCAATTATTTTACAATGAACACAATTACAGTAAATCCTCCACACAAGTTTTAAAAGTAATCAATTCTAACTTGGAATTTAAAGTTCGAGGCTTATGGAGCGTGGACGCTGTAACAGTGGATCAGGGAGCCACATAAACCAATTTATGGTCATCATTTGAAACGTCCATATTAGTGAATCGCCATCAAGTGGGGACTGCCATGCCTGCCAATTATTTTTTGCCAGCATTATTAGTTTGTCAAGTTTTTCATCAAATTTTGTACTTGTGGTATCATTACCTTCAGAAAAAGATTTTGCACCACTTCAGAAGAGGAAGAAGAAAAGATGAAGAAAAATGGACACAGCAATCGTGAAAGGATAAAAACTATGGCTGTGCCAAAATATTGGCAATGACTAATTTTGGGGGTTTCAATATCAGCAAAACATCTTTGCATATACAAAAAAAAAAAAAAAAAAAAAAAAAAAAAAAACATTAACACTGTCAGTTCCCAACAGCTAGCCAACTGATATATCACAGAAAAGGCGAGTTCTAGTGCAGAATAATCAAGGATGGAGTGTGTAAACATCACACAAATACGTACAGTAGTATCTCGGTACTCGAATGCTTCCAACTCGAAGAATTTAGTGTTTGAATGCTTTGTTTAGAAAAAAAAAAAAAAAAAAAAAAATTAGCTTGGTAGTCGGCTGTTTGCTCGGCCCTTGACCAAACAAACACGACCTGCCAGAACTTCACTAAACTATTTTGTGTTTCTTCACATTTTTCAGTATTTTTTATTTGTATAAATAAATCGCCATGGGGCCTAAGAAGATTAGTGATAACAGCCAGCCAAAAAGAAAATTAGTTAGGCACACAAAAGTAGCGATCTGTTAGGTACTTGAACAGATTGGCACTCGAACAGCCTTCTGGAGCGAATTAAGTTCGAGTACCGAGGTACTACTGTACCTCCTACTTTAGAGACAAACTTAGGACATTATGGAGCCAAATCAACCAGGCTGTAATAGATATGTGGGGGCAGCAGGCCACCAGCAGCAACAGCCCGGCTAACCAGGCAAGATCCAGACGAGCCTGGCCCACAACCGGGCTCTGGGAGTGGAACACCTCAAGCAACTCAAAGGTATATAAAGGTAAAGGTAATGTTCAAAGTCAGACAAATGTTGTCAGAAGGTTCAGGTCACCTATGTGCAGTTGCGCGCACACGTCCGTCCATCCATCCATCAGTGTGCGCGCGTGCATGTGTGTGCTGTTCCACCCACAGTACTGTCACTTTATTCGTTGTACAACTATACCAGATAAGGAGCCTAGATGAATGATTTACTGGAGGACAGTCAAACCTTAATACAACATACTAATGGGGGAATTATCCAAAGGTCTGTTAAATTAGTGTAATGTTAGATAAATAAATCACATTCTGCATGCATATCCTACTGTACATACAATTAACAGTTACACTAAAGTAAAAGTTAAAAATAAATGAGTAAATGTACAATTTATACAGTGGATTTTGATCATTTTCTAATGTCTGATACATCAAAGTTCACTACTGAAGAGAAGACGTGAACACCAGAACTAAACTAACGTGGCTTCTGGTATGACGTTGGTGCTTTAGGCCCTGAAGTGTCTAGTACTGGGGGATGGACATCAAGGTGAAGCTTGACTTGCTGCATGGCTGGAGTCTTGCAGTGTGGGTTCACAGTGTTGACTCTAGGCCAGCTGCCGGCCTGCGATCCCATCCACACACTCATCTTGGAGTCTGCCAAAATAAAAATTCAGTGTTTATAAAAGGTAAAGAACAAAAAGGTACTATAACGTGACAACACGCAAACAACCTGCACACAGGAGAGAAAAGCCCAGGACAATGGTCCAAGTCACATTTGTAAATGGTTCATGTTGGCTTAAGCACAGTTCTGGGCTTCTCTCTCCTAGGTTCAGGTTGTGTTATAAACCTTAAAATTACTTCGAATAAAGCATGTACTGCATTACAAAATTAAAGAATTGTGAATGTCATACTCGGTTATGTCACCGAGACCGTCCCTCCTCATGGTCGACTCTTCAACCATGCTTTGTAAACTGCCAAGGAAATTATGACTAGAAACCAAGTGGAGAAGTCTGTGGTATACTGAATATATCACAAGCAGAAGTTTGCAAGGTTTACGTTATCTTTCATGTTCATGAGCAACCTCTCCTCACTTAGCGATGTACTCGTTTACTGACGCCTCAGACTTACGGCGGGCTCTCTGACCAGTATTTATATCTAAATAATGTATATTAGAGCCGATTTCCTCTATTCTGTTTATTACAATATACAGAACACTATTGCATAAATATTTGAAAATATACCAGAAATGTTATAAATGGTACAAAGGTAACATTAAAACAATATCAAAGATGGTTGACACAAACTCACTACCATCATAGTATGTTCCTCACTTAGCGACGAATTCGTTTTATGACGTGGTCTTAGGAACGAAACTCCGTCGTAAACAGTACAAACGTATATATATATACATATACCCCAGTGCCCCGATTTAAAAAAAAAAAAAAAAAGGAGCACATTTTTCTAAGTGTTATAGGATAAAAAATTTTTTTTAGGGTCATTACTTACCGAGATACAAGGTGGCAAAGTTGGCACCTGGAGATCACCTGACGGCAATGTGGAGCACTGCGCTTGCAGAAGTGTTACTGATATATCTTTTTCCATTTTTCATATTTTATATAATTTTTATGTTCTGATAATTACAATTTATAATAGTTCTTGTCATTTCATAACTAATCTTTTTATACAAAGTATTTATAGGTCCCGGCAATGTTTTAGAGGAGGAGGGAGGAGGAGGAGGTGGGAGGAGGGAAAGAGGTAGGGAGGGAAAGAGGGAGGGAGGGAAAGAGGGAGGAGGGAGGGAGGGAGGGAGGGAGGGAGAGAGGGAGGGAGGGAGAGAGGGAGGGAGGGAGAGAGGGAGGGAGGGAGGGAGGAGGGAGGGAGGGAGGAGGGAGGGAGGGAGGGAGGGAGGAGGGAGGGAGGGAGGGAGGGAGGGAGGAGGAGGGAGGGAGGAGGGAGGGAGGAGGAGGGAGGGAGGGAGGGAGGAGGGAGGGAGGGAGGGGGGAGGAGGGAGGGAGGAGGGAGGGAGGGGGAGGAGGGAGGAGGGAGGGAGGAGGGAGGGAGGGAGGGAGGGAGGGGGGAGGAGGGAGGGGGAGGGAGGGAGGGAGGGAGGGAGGGAGGAGGGAGGGGGAGGGAGGGAGGAGGGAGGGAGGGAGGAGGGAGGAGGGAGGGAGGGGAGTGGGAGGGAGGGAGGGAGGAGGGGGAGGGAGGGAGGAGGAGGGAGGGGAGGGGAGGGAGGGAGGGAGGAGGAGGAGGGGAGGAGAGGAGGGGGAGAGGAGGGGGAGAGGAGGGGGAGAGGGAGGGGAGGGGAGAGAGGGGATAGATGAAGAGGAGAGCTGGAGGTATGACGTAGGGGGAGAGGAGGAGAGGAGGCGAGATGAGGACGGAGAGAGGGGAGCAGGAGGGGGAAGGAGGCAAGGGGATTTTTTTTGGGTTATCTCTAAGTATTTACAATATTATACATGTTTACTTGTATTTATACATACCTGTGAGAGAGAGAGAGACAGAAAGAGACAGAGATAGAGACAGAAACAGAGACAGACAGACAAATGGAGATAGAGCCAGGTCGCCAGCAGCTGGCCAGCCACACAGCCGGCCAGCCAGCCTATCAGGCAGCCAGCCAGAATTATTTCTCTTTACTTAGAGCACAGGTTATAAGACATTCTGAAAGGGTGTTGCACAAATATTGCACATGGGTTATTATCCAGGTTTTTGATATTTCCTCGACCACTTGTGGCCACATCCACCTCAAAGCCACTAAACTCAAGGTTAAAATCACTTTCCTCTTAAAATGGGAGTGTTAATACTACATGACATCAGTGAATCCCAGGTGTTTGCTGCACTGTTTACTCTAGCTGGTGCTCATTTGAACTGGTGCTCCCACAAGGTACTAAGTGGTCCCAGATTTTTTTAATACCGTGCACACTGAGTGTTAGAACACATTCTATACTGACAAGGCATCTCAGGCCAATCATGCCAAATTTGAAGGAAAAATAAAATGTATATATACGTTTGGGGCACTAGCGGTAAAAACGTATATATACGTTTGGACCGTTTACGGGTTAAGTGAGGAGAGGCTGTATTTCTTTATTATACTAAGGGGAAAACACTAAGTGGCACGCAGGAACACTCCATGAAAAAAATATTTTTGAAACAATGTAATGAAGAATAAAAAAGCACAATACCATGACGAACAATTCACAAATAACCCGGAAACAGGAGAAAAACTTGTGCAGTTTAATGGTCCAAATGGGTCAAACATCACGAGTTTCTCCTATGAGGAAGCAACCACACATGACAGGAGGGTAGTTCCTCATGGAGGAAAACAGAATTTAAACATCAACAAATCACCGAGCCTGTAGCATCAAACGGCCTCCCGTTATACACCTGTACGTCAAGAAAATACTGTGTATTACTGTATACATATAAAGTTTTCATCACTGTTTCCTACTGCATGGCATGATAAAAACCAATCTCATATTTACTCACTCAAATTATTGTTCCCACGATACTGTACCAAACACTGTACTGGAGTCTCACGTACTCCTGTACTGTACAGTGGACCCCCGCCTAACGATATTATTTCAATCCAGAAGTCTGTTTGGGTGCCGTTATAGACCGAATTTGTTCCCATAAGGAATATTGTGAATTAGATTAGTCTGTTTCAGACCCCCAAAAATACACCTACAAAAGCACTTACAAAAATACACTTACATAATTGGTCGAGTTGGGAGCTGATCGTTAGGCGGGGTCCACTGTATTACAATACTACCTCCTGCAATAGGCCTGAATTTATTTTCTAGGCAGGATAACATTGCAGCCAGCTCAAAGTCTTTCGCCAGTAAACCAGCGGCCTCACAGATCTATGTCAGTGGTGGTAACTGGACAAATATCTTCACCAGGTGCCAGATCAACCAGATTGTGATGGATATGTTGAGCAGCAAGCCTCCAGCAGCAACAGCCTGGTTGACCAGGCAAGCACCAGACGAGCCCGGCCAAGGGCCGATAGCTATGCCTGTATGACATGTATGTATATACATACATGTCATACAGTCATGTCTATGACAACCTGGCTTAGATGTGCTACAGTTAGACGTAACTGTTGTACGTGCGTCTTGCTTATCCAGTCACAGTATTGTGACCGCTTCTTCTTAATGTACGTACATACCATATTTCACGGCACATTAGACACATTTTTTCCCCATAAAATGTCTCCAAAAACCAGCCTGCGTCCTATAAACTGTACGCCAGTGACGGGAGCTGTAAGTCTGGGGTGTGGGATGGGCTGTAGCTCTCCCAGTTACGTCCGATGCCGAGCCACTGAAACAGTCTTATAGGCCGGTACATATACGTACAAAGAATAAACTCACAATACAGCAACTGGAACAATACACAAATAACTAGTCATTGTGATGTAATGTAACTAGTCACTGTGACATAATGTAACTAGTCACTGTGACATAATGTAACTAGTCACTGTGACAATGTAACTAGTCACTGTGACATAATGTATCTAGTCACTGTGACATAATGTAACTAGTCACTGTGACATAATATAACTAGTCACTGTGACATAATATAACTAGTCATTGTGACAATATAACTAGTTATTGTGACATAATACAACTAGTCATTGTGACATAATGTAACTAGTCACTGTGACATAATATAAATAGTCATTGTGACATAATGTAACTAGTCACTGTGACATAATATAAATAGTCATTGTGACATAATATAACTAGTCACTGTGACAATGTAACTAGTCACTGTGACATAATATAACTAGTCACTGTGACATAATATAACTAGTCACTGTGACATAATATAACTAGTCACTGTGACATAATATAATTAGTCACTGTGACATAATATAACTAGTCACTGTGACATAATATAACTAGTCACTGTGACATAATATAACTAGTCACTGTGACATAATATAACTAGTCATTGTGACATAATATAACTAGTCATTGTGACATAATATAATTAGTCATTGTGACATAATATAACTAGTCATTGTGACATAATATAATTAGTCATTGTGACATAATATAACTAGTCACTGTGACAATATAACTAGTCACTGTGACAATATAACTAGTCACTGTGACAATGTAACTAGTCACTGTGACATAATATAACTAGTCACTGTGACAATGTAACTAGTCACTGTGACATAATATAACTAGTCACTGTGACATAATATAACTAGTCACTGTGACATAATATAACTAGTCACCGTGACATAATATAACTAGTCACTGTGACATAATATAACTAGTCACTGTGACATAATATAACTAGTCACTGTGACATAATATAACTAGTCACTGTGACATAATATAACTAGTCACTGTGACAATATAACTAGTCACTGTGACATAATATAACTAGTCACTGTGACATAATATAACTAGTCACTGTGACAATGTAACTAGTCACTGTGACATAATATAACTAGTCATTGTGACATAATATAACTAGTCATTGTGACATAATATAACTAGTCATTGTGACATAATATAACTAGTCACTGTGACATAATATAACTAGTCACTGTGACAATATAACTAGTCACTGTGACATAATGTAACTAGTCACTGTGACATAATATAACTAGTCACTGTGACATAATATAACTAGTCACTGTGACAATGTAACTAGTCACTGTGACATAATATAACTAGTCACTGTGACAATGTAACTAGTCATTGTGACATAATATAACTAGTCACTGTGACATAATATAACTAGTCACTGTGACAATGTAACTAGTCACTGTGACATAATATAACTAGTCATTGTGACATAATATAACTAGTCATTGTGACATAATATAACTAGTCATTGTGACATAATATAACTAGTCACTGTGACATAATATAACTAGTCACTGTGACAATATAACTAGTCACTGTGACATAATGTAACTAGTCACTGTGACATAATATAACTAGTCACTGTGACATAATATAACTAGTCACTGTGACAATGTAACTAGTCACTGTGACATAATATAACTAGTCACTGTGACAATGTAACTAGTCATTGTGACATAATATAACTAGTCACTGTGACATAATATAACTAGTCACTGTGACATAATATAACTAGTCACTGTGACATAATATAACTAGTCACTGTGACAATGTAACTAGTCATTGTGACATAATATAACTAGTCATTGTGACATAATATAACTAGTCACTGTGACATAATATAACTAGTCACTGTGACAATGTAACTAGTCACTGTGACATAATATAACTAGTCACTGTGACATAATATAACTAGTCATTGTGACATAATATAACTAGTCATTGTGACATAATATAACTAGTCACTGTGACTAACTCCTGACAGTTTCAGTTCGACTTGGACCATTAAGTAGCCGAGTCTCCGATGTGCGTGTTATTAGTGCGTGTATGACACGACTGCACGACACGACGGTTCCAGCAACAAGCCAGACTGAGCGAAGAATATCTTTACCATATTTATGGAGAGAGCCAAACCCATAAGGGCTGTCCAGTGTTGCAAAGCGGGGGGGGGGGGGGGTATTATTATTTATTAAAATAAAAAATTATAAATACATATTCATAAAAACATTATATTAATTTTATTATTACAATTTAGATTCAATTATAATTATTATACAAATAAATATTATTGGAAAGTTCAGTAGAATGTGTACTGAGGGGAAAGCACTAAACCCGTAGGGGGTCACAAGCCTGGCAGATGTCAGGATGTCGAGTTTGACCCAAAGCGAGGGAAGAATCCACTTCCTTGGATCAAGAGCCTGCCATACCTCACCTGGGAGGTAGTCAAATGTGATCCAGGTGAAAGGCAGCTCTAATTCCTCGGATCAAGAGCCTCTCCTTAACATTAATACCCTCAAGGCAATTCTCGAAAATATATATTAAAAATGACACACAACATGGACAACTTAACGAATAAGACATACGAACGTACACTTACGAATATTAACGAACATAAATACGAATATACGGACGTTAATACGCACATCACGTACACAACACCAATCACGGGTTTTAACTCAAAATACGTAAAAATAAACCCAAAAAGTGTAAATCATGTGCAATTAGCTAAATATTTCAGTTCTTACCTTTGAAACGACGTATATTTCTTGATAATTAAGCTATCTCTTGGTCAATATTGTGTGAGAGATAATGTGGACCTTGGCCCCACTTCACACTCTTATTTCCACAAAAGCAGAGCGAGGCGGCGTCAATATTGCAGTGCAATTGATGGGCAGAGTAGTGGAGAGCGCGAGACATCATGTGGCTACAGCTTGGTAATGTTATCCATGAGTTAAACTCCATTGTTTGTCTGAGGTCTGAGCTTCAATCTTTCTTCTTGTCGGCCATGTTGTAAACAACCGCGGCACCGCCGCCCTCACCCGCCCATTCCGCGCCTTCAACTAGTTCCTCAATATTTTGACTATTTTTTCCCTATTTGCACATTTTTCAATAAACTAAATTGTCTTATATAGTAATATATCTGTAACTTACTTATACTTAATCCTAAAAACTCAAACTTACCTATTCTATTCCATTCGTAATTACCTTTATATAATTACAATTATCCAAATTTTGAATTAATATAAATATCCTAAATAATAAAATACATATATAAATTACTTAAAATAACCAATAAACGTCAAAGAAACAGACTTATTTCTATTTCATTCAATAACAATAATTATAAAAATATTCAATAATTTCGTCGTAATTAATTTCTAAACTTCCCTAAAATATTAATTTAAAAATTAAAAACTATTTTACAAATATATAAATAAGTTTATATAATATTCTTGATCATATACGCAATTATCATTGTTATTCACCCTAATGCAAATATATAACTTTATATAACCTTTCTGGGCTATTTTATTAATTTATAATTATATTATATATAATAATTATCATAATTATAATTATATAAAAAAATGAAAATAATCGAAATAATTTTACCAACATCATGGCGGAGGAATATCTAGTTGCATCAGCCCACAGACAAAATTATTTTTCCTAAAATAAACCACAACATATTTCACACAGCCTAAATAAACTTTATTATTATGCCTAAATAAACTAGTGTAATTACTCTGGTGAAAATAGATACTACTTAAAACATCAATCGATTATTTCTCCCAATTTACTGAAGAACAACAGCAGGGGCGGCAATCATCCTGGGAATAAAAACTAGAATAACGCGGAAATCCGTTGACTAATTCATCAAATTTCAGAAAAATTCTCGACTAATTCGTCAATTTTGGGGAAAATTCGTGGAAATTCATCAGTTTAAGGAGGAAAAATTACGACCGATGAATCGTACGTCACAATGACGATCCTGGAGGAAAATTTCCATAAATATAAACTTAGTAGAACCGGGAAACTTGCAGGAAAATCCAGATTATTCTTAATTATATTTACGTAATTACCCTCAAGCAGTGACGTAATGTAACTAGTTATTGTGACGTAATGTAACTAGTTATTGTGACGTAAGGTAACTAGTTACTTTGACGTAATGTAACTAGTTATTGTGACGTAATGTAACTAGTTATTGTGACGTAATGTAACCAGTTATTGTGACGTAATGTAACTAGTCATTGTGACGTAATGTAACCAGTTATTGTGACGTAATGTAACTAGTTATTGTGACGTAATGTAACTAGTCACTGTGACGTAATGTAACTAGTTATTGTGACGTAATGTAACTAGTTATTGTGACGTAATGTAACTAGTTATTGTGACGTAATGTAACTAGTTATTGTGACGTAATGTAACTAGTTATTGTGACGTAATGTAACTAGTTATTGTGACGTAATGTAACTAGTTATTGTGACGTAATGTAACTAGTCACTGTGACGTAATGTAACTAGTCATTGTGACGTAATGTAACTAGTTATTGTGACGTAATGTAACTAGTTATTGTGACGTAATGTAACTAGTTATTGTGACGTAATGTAATTAGTTATTGTGACGTAATGTAACTAGTTATTGTGACGTAATGTAACTAGTTACTTTGACGTAATGTAACTAGTTATTGTGACGTAATGTAACTAGTTATTGTGACGTAATGTAACTAGTTATTGTGACGTAATGTAACTAGTTATTGTGACGTAATGTAACTAGTTATTGTGACGTAATGTAACTAGTTATTGTGACGTAATGTAACTAGTTATTGTGACGTAATGTAATTAGTTATTGTGACGTAATGTAAATAGTTATTGTGACGTAATGTAACTAGTTACTTTGACGTAATGTAACTAGTTATTGTGACGTAATGTAACTAGTCACTGTGACGTAATGTAACTAGTCATTGTGACGTAATGTAACTAGTTATTGTGACGTAATGTAACTAGTTATTGTGACGTAATGTAACTAGTTATTGTGACGTAATGTAACTAGTTATTGTGACGTAATGTAACTAGTTATTGTGACGTAATGTAACTAGTTATTGTGACGTAATGTAACTAGTTACTTTGACGTAATGTAACTAGTTATTGTGACGTAATGTAACTAGTTATTGTGACGTAATGTAACTAGTTATTGTGACGTAATGTAACTAGGTTTAAATGTGTGACGTAATGTAACTAGTTATTGTGACGTAATGTAACTAGTTATTGTGACGTAATGTAACGAGTTACTTTGACGTAATGTAACTAGTTATTGTGACGTAATGTAACTGGTTATTGTGACGTAATGTATCTAGTTATTGTGACGTAACGTAACTAGTTATTGTGACGTAATGTAACTAGTTATTGTGACGTAATGTAACTAGTTATTGTGACGTAATGTAACTAGTTATTGTGACGTAATGTAACTAGTTATTGTGACGTAATGTAACTAGTTATTGTGACGTAATGTAACTAGTTATTGTGACGTAATGTAACTAGTTATTGTGACGTAATGTAACTAGTTATTGTGACGTAATGTAACTAGTTATTGTGACGTAATGTAACTAGTCACTGTGACGTAATGTAACTAGTTATTGTGACGTAATGTAACTAGTTATTGGACGTAATGTAACTAGTTATTGTGACGTAATGTAACTAGTTATTGTGACGTAATGTAACTAGTTATTGTGACGTAATGTAACCAGTTATTGTGACGTAATGTAACTAGTTATTGTGACGTAATGTAACTAGTTATTGTGACGTAATGTAACTAGTTATTGTGATGTAATGTAACTAGTTACTTTGACGTAATATAACTAGTTATTGTGACGTAATTTAACTAGTTACTTTGACGTAATGTAACTAGTTATTGTGACGTAATGTAACTAGTTACTTTGACGTAATGTAACTAGTTATTGCGACGTAATGTAACTAGTTATTGCGAAGTAATGTAACTAGTCACTGTGACGTAATGTAACTAGTCACTGTGACGTAATGTAACTAGTCACTGTGACGTAATGTAACTAGTCATTGCGATGTAATGTAACTAGTCACTGTGACATAATGTAACTAGTCATTGCGACGTAATGTAACTAGTCACTGTGACGTAATGTAACTAGTCATTGCGACGTAATGTAACTAGTCACTGTGATGTAATGTAACTAGTCATTGCGACGTAATGTAACTAGTCATTGCGACGTAATGTAACTAGTCATTGTGACGTCATGTAACTAGCCACTGTGACGTAATGTAACTAGTCATTGCAACGTAATGTAACTAGTCATTGCGACGTAATGTAACTAGTCATTGCGACGTAATGTAACTAGTCACTGTGACGTAATGTAAATAGTCATTGCGACGTAATGTAACTAGTCATTGCGACGTAATGTAACTAGTCACTGTGACGTAATGTAACTAGTCACTGTGACGTAATGTAACTAGTCACTGTGACGTAATGTAACTAGTCATTGCGACGTAATGTAACTAGTCACTGTGACGTAATGTAACTAGTCATTGCGACGTAATGTAACTAGTCACTGTGACGCAATGTAACTAGTCATTGCGACGTAATGTAACTAGTCACTGTGACGTAATGTAACTAGTCATTGCGACGTAATGTAACTAGTCACTGTGACGTAATGTAACTAGTCATTGCGACGTAATGTAACTAGTCACTGTGACGCAATGTAACTAGTCATTGCGACGTAATGTAACTAGTCACTGTGACGTAATGTAACTAGTCATTGCGACGTAATGTAACTAGTCACTGTGACGTAATGTAACTAGTCATTGCGACGTAATGTAACTAGTCATTGTGACGTAATGTAACTAATTACAGCATTGACTAGCAATATGAACTGCAAAAGTCACCCTGATCCTCGGAGGTGATCCACTGC